ATTCCACATAGCCAGCAAGAGGTCCACAGGGTTAGCGTCAAACCAAGAGTCAGCTATTAAGCCTTCTCCTAATTCTCTGGCTAATAGTAGGACTCACGCAATCAGTGAGATACAACAAATGAATCCTCGCAATTGTCAAAGAGGAGCGATTCAAATTGTCTACAATCTCACGTTGTACTTCATGCCAAGATCTCGAATCACTTGCACCCTGATAGGGCCCTCCTTGGAGCTTCTTGATCTGGCTCACCAGCTTCTCAGAGGCCTGAGTCACTCGGTGCTTAACAAACTCTAATTGAGCTTCATTAATAGCCAAATCATCAGAACCAATAGGTAAGTCAGCAGGTCTCTCCTTCTGCCACTGAGGAGGCAGTAACCAGAAGGACTTCAAGTATCCATACCGTGGCATACGGTAACCCATATTCAAACGAATTTGGGCCTTCTTAGCATTAGTAGGGGCGATGGTCTTCAGATTTTCAGACAATACTGACTCCACCTGACTCACTATACGAGAGTTGATAGAGTCATTATCACCCCCTCTAGGCCTTCCATCATTGAAGGCTAGCGGATAATCTTCTTGAACCATCTTAAAATTGCCATCAGGTTGCCTACACAGTGTTACTCTCTCCCCATAGGGAGGAGTTCTACCGTAAGGTTCCCCTATCTGGCCAGCAACACTTGGGGTCATTGGAAATGACTCCAGGTTACCATGGTAGGTCCCAGCAGTACCCACAGTGGTACTCTGGCCTTTCCTACCACCTTCAAGGGCATCAGGTGCCATTACTCGTTCTTGGTGACGTTCAGGACCATTACTAGAGTAGATTCGGCCTCTACTAGGGTCACTATAATCATAGTGCCACACCTTTCGAGGATCACCCAGCGAACCATTGGGCATTTCCGAATTACAGGCCTTACCCTGCACATACCCAGCCCCTTGCTCTGTAGTTGCCTTAGACCCACCACCAGAACCAACGGGGTTGAAGGAAAAGGTCGGACTCTCCTGCCCGTACAAAGGCATACCATAATCAGAGGTAGCATTCGGCGCCACAGGAAGACCTTGGTCATGACTGCTACGACCTACATCACGACCAATAGGCTCTCCATTACCATTCAAGCTAAAGGCAGAGCCAATACGTTTTCTCAACGTAACATGCCTAT